TTATTATACAGTATAACAATCTGCTTTTTAATAATCTCCTGTGGTTCAATTATTCTTTTTGGTTATTCCCAAGGTGCAAAGAGAAAAACCTTTAATTAACATGGATGCACAGATTTGACTTGGCCACTGACCGAATGTGGGTGTTGCGGCCTAAGTATTGTACGTCAAAGGGATTAATATTAGTAATAATAACTTATCTGCTTATAACAAACAATCCTTAATGAAGTGGTACTGTAGCTTATTAGTTAAGATTTCCTCCTGTCTAATCCAAGTTTCTCCAATGGCCGTGCAATAGCGGATGGGATCGGATGGCATCTTGGGGATTTTCCAATCCCAGGTCAAAGTTTCCCCCATCCAATTGAAACTCTCCAAGGAAAGTATTATAACACAAATTATTGTTACTATTCATTAAAATATAGCCCCTACCCCCAGTCATTGCTAGGCAAACCTCCTCTAAACCTTTTTCTGCTTGGCCTGTGGTCCTTGGTTGACTCTTTACATCAAATTATCTTTTTTCACTCCCTCAAACTGACCTCATTCCTTCCCTCTCTTTTATTATCCCTGGTACTCCCACTGAATCTCTCTGGTTTAGAATTCTATGAAAGACAAGGAATTTTTTCTTGAATATAAACTCCACTCTCTAAGGCTATGCACATTCAAATGTAAGCATCCTGAGTGTTACTACTATGATTGGCTGTTCATTGAATCTTGTAAATACAGAGGAACATTTAGAACATAGTAGACAGTCGATGCACACTCTGCCAATGAGAGAAATAATTGGGACAAATGCTAGATTATGCGATGTCAATTGACAGAAAGCATTTACAGCGATCACCCTCGCATACTCCTAATTTGAACTCTTCCCATGTAAATGGTAGCCTACATAGGGGAATAGAAATTTAATGTCATCATCCCTGTAAAGTGGTTAATTGGCACAAATCAATTTTTCATGGTAGTACACTCCTCTAGTACCATATAGATTTATTGTTTGCATTAGCGTTATAGTCATAAAAGCTGCTAGAATTGCCATGTGATTCCTGTCTCTTATACACATCTAGATGTGTATAAGAGACAAGGATAGATCAAACAACATCGATCAAGTAAACATGTACCACCTTTATCCTGTAGTTAGGTGAGAAGTTTCCAGAGCATTGTTTGCTTCACAATTTTCAGGGGAGATTTTCTGTTGCCGTGACCATTCTTTTTGCCATTAACACCAGGGATGATACTAAATTATATAGAGTGCCTGTTAGAACAACTCTTTTTCAAAATTCCATTTATGTCAAAGCAGAGAGGCTCTGGAACTCTCTTCCTGACAGCCTGAGGAGCTTATATGATTATTAAAAAATGTTTACAAAACTAATAACAGCATATTTTAATGATTTAAACGATATGAGATGAATATATTTATTTTGTTTAATTTTTGTTAATTTTTTACAGTGATTTCAAATGTATTATAAATTTTAATCATGGTATACCATACTCATGTTACATATTTTATATTTTTGTCAAGAGGTTCCCACTTTTGTGTTGGGCCGTTATTTGTAATAAATAAATATATTCATATTTTGGCTGTCTACAACATAAGGATGCAAGTACAAAACTGCACAAAGTTTTTAGAAAAAATACAATACAAGATTTTTTGTCATCTGGGTGGAGGGAAATTCTCAACCCTGAAAATGAGAACTCCTAATTTGACACTGTTGGTGAATCTTACAAGTTAAGTTGTATTGAGGATTTTGGAAATATAAGGGACAAAAAAAGAAATATTTGGGGTTTTATGCATATTAAATCAGCCTACATTTGTGTAATAAATGTTTGTATACAATTCTTGATTATTTAATAAGAAATCCTTTTTATATGTCTAGGTGTTTTGATGCATATTTTTTACAGAATGTTTTGAAACAAATGACTATTATTCTTATACTTCTCTTTTTTCACAGGCAATTGTACCAGAAATGATTTTCAATGTGGTGATGGAAGTTGTATACCAAACGATAAACTCTGCAATTTTATCAACGATTGTTTGCATGCAACAGATGAAACTACTTGTGGTAATGATGTTGACCTTTCATTGAAGTGCCTGGTTTAATTACCTCCAGGACGCATTTCTCTTTTTATTCTTGTTATATTAATTTATTTAGAAATCTATTTTCTGTAGAGAGCAACTTAGCTTAGTCATTTGGTAGAGAGCACCTTAACTCAGTCTAGGGGATTGTCTCCCGGTGTACTGACCAATTACCATCAGAAGGACCCTACTGGAAATATGTCTTCTTCCGATTTTTTTGTGGGTTATCATTGGTGATTACACCGACTAAATCAATCGGTCCATCCATCCACTGATGTAGCATATCCTAATTTCCACAATTACGCATTCATCAACTGTTAATATCCATGCGTCTATACAACATGTATTGTGAGAGAATTTTGGTTAATTAATGAGTCTGCGCTAAGTGCTTCGTTAATAGTGAAATGAAGTAGATAAAGAGAAAATTTGTGTACTCTACCTTGTTTTTCGGATGGAAGGATAATAATTAAGACGTCAGAATGTGTGTTGGTTATTGTTAAATTGTATTCGGATATCTACCCACTCATTCCTTAATATATTTCTACATCCTTCAAAGATGTATGGTACATGCATTTCAATCTAATATTAGAATTGTTTTCATCAATCAATTTAACAATCAATACAAAAAATATTTATTTCTCTGCTCTTTCGTGACAGTAAAATAATAAAAAATAAATAAAAAGCTTTAAAAGAAGTTGTGCTGTCGATTTAAATCTTCTTTTATTAGTTAAAATTTTTAAATTTGCAAAAACCTCATCTTCTGCTGCAGATATTGTACATTTGTTACTGAAATATTGGGACAGTTATTGACATTTAAATGCATTTTACATTGAAGTTATGAACTCTGGCTAAGGCCTTTCTTCACATGATCAAAATTATCAATACCTTTTATTCTCGCATATAAGGTGGGCTGCGTGTAAAGACGATCCCCGAGTTTTCCCCTTCCAGATAATTTTTAATGTTGTGCTTATTCATGAAATCTAAAATATTGAGTGTTATTTAATTTAGTCTTTTATAGCTTATTAATCAATTATTCATTGTAATGCATTTAATTTAATTTTTAATCGTTATTTCTTTGGATCTCTCTGTATACAATTTATTCAAGTTGTCATGTATTTTTAGGTCTAAAGCTTAAACAAAAACCGTGAACAACAGAAGAAAGAAGCAGAAAATACAGTTCAAAAGAGTCATTTGGGTTTGTTTTCATCCAATCATAGACTGTTATGGAAGCAGCAACTTCTCCAATTAATAACGCTCTCTTCCTTCCATTAGCACATTGTCTCATCCAGTTCCACCCTTAGATAATTAAATGAATGCAGCATTCTCGTGAAATTCGATTCGGAAAACATTAAAGCAACAAGCTCTCAGTCTCTGCCTCACAAACTAATGATATATTTTCAATTGCATATGTAGATAATTAGCTCTATTCAAAACAGTCATAGAATATATGCATTAGTTCTACACCATTTGAAAATAAATTATCCAGTTGGCTATAGTGGGTCTGTATTATGCATCACACATATTAAATGATATATAGTTTTAATGGAATATTTTATACTAAAGTAAATTTAATGCGTCAATTATTTTTAATTGTACTTGCACTGTAGATCAAACAATAATGTTAGTTATGTATTTAATATAAATATATTTAAATTATGTTTGCTTATTCATTTTCAATTTTCGGCAACTTCTGTTACCTTTGGCAGCACTTGAGTATCTATGAAAAACAGAATATACAAGTCTATACAATGGATGACTGAACACCAGTGCTGACGAAGGTAACAGAAGTTGCCGAAAATTTCGCTAATAATTTCTGTCTTCTACAAGTCAAAGTATTGTAGCAGTTTATTGTCTGTAATAATAATAATAATAATAATAATAATAATAATAATAATAATAATAATGTTATATTTATATAGCGCATATTGCACATTGCCCCTATGCGCTTTACAAAGAAATAATGTAGGCCAACTGAGAAAATGCAAATAACAATAAAATAATAACAATAAAATAAAATAAAAATAATAATCAATGAGACTAAACTACTCCTATTCCTTTAACTAATTAATGGTTGGCCTATGACTCCGAGGAGCTCATCCGCCCATTGTTAATATTATACATACATATATATATATACTGTCTCTTATACAAGCAGATTCAGGGGGGGGGGGGGGACAGGCCCTGTCTCTTATACACATCTATGTTTGTTGCGTAGCACTGGGGATAATCATATCAATAAATGAAAAGTTCCTTTGTTCCTAATGGGCGTTCCTGATGCCCATTAATTAATTTTCTTGTTCTTAAATCATTTTTATATTGTTTATGCATGTTGAGCATCGAATAAATTCAATCACAACCAATCGATTCAGTATTCAGCGGGATACATAAAACAAGTGTTATATTACATTTTTTTTAAGTTTATTAGGTCATAGGCCCTAGGTAGGCCTAATTAGTAACCTTTCTATTTCATTTGTCTCACAATTTTATAGAAAATATCTTACGAGGAGGCCATAAATTTTAATGAGACTACACTCGTTAATCTGAGTACAGATGAACCCAATCAATATCTGTCACTGTCTGAACAACATAGAAACTGCATTGTTATCCCTAGAGGCTGGGTTTTTTCCTGTACTTGTACAGTAGTATGACAAAGGTATAGGGTTGGGAGAGTCTGTTTTAGTGGCTATAGCACCAAGTTGCTCAGTCATCTGGAGTTAGTTTTGACCCCGGGGCAGGTGCAGGATTTGATGGAAAGGGTTGCGTGAGAGTCCACACCACCTCAGGCCCACCATGCTTGGTGCTAAGTTGCGAAAATTTTTAGAATGTGAACCTCTAGGTGCTTGGAAATATCACTCTCATACCTTAAAAATCTTACCAGTAATTCATATCAACGATACCATACAACAATTATTTTTCTTAATACAACTAGAAGGGGTGCAATTGCACCGTCTGCACCCTCTCCTCCCCTGTATCCACCCCCGAGACATCTATATTTACTAATGGAGGAATTAGTTTCCTCCATGATTTACTCGAGAGAATGAAAACTGAAATGAAAGTGACAGTGTAGGATTTGCAATAAAATTGTGTATTTTTAGTTTCATATATATACTACCTAACAATCCCAGCATAGGGGTTCACACAAGTGGTATATTGTGGAGTACATAGTTATTGCAGAATGGTTGGAACATCTATATTTTTCAGGAGAAATTGAAAACCGGAGGGAATAAATGTGGTCTGAAGTTCCCATTCAAAGTATATTCGATTGGGTTTGCAATGTATTCTAGAAACTCTATTCTAGATAGGTACCTATCTGCAGATAGGTGCGGACATTTTTATGTCCAGGTTGATCTGATTTTAATAATAATGTTTTTATAATAGTAATAATAATAATAATTCTTGATTAGTCGTCTTTCAATTGGAAATCGGAAATTCGGGATGGATTCCCCGGCGACCCACAGCAATCGCGCAGTGCAGTTCCACCCAACTTAACTACAACATATTGGACACACACAGATACAGACATTGTCTTTAACTCGCCTAAATCTCAATTGAGGGTTATTCGAGGACCTAGCGATCAGGCTCCAATTAAAACCAATGCTGTCCGGGTTTGAACTGAGGTCTTCAACACAAGAAGCAGGAACAATTAATACCTCTCGGCCAACCGCTCTGCTCAATGATATGTTTTCAGTGGCGTGTCTAAGGGGTGCGTGGGGCGCTCCCCTCCAAAAATTACTCGTCCCCCCTCCCCAAAAATCACTTGCAAAAAGTTAAAAATCACCTTATTTTGCGAGTAAGCGCCCTGAATGGATCATCCCGCCCTCCCCCTCTCCATTTCACCTTCGCACCGCCCCTCTATCAACACCCCTATTTCAAGACTTCTAGATATGCCACTGTACGTTTTTAAGATCATTTTTATTCATAAGCCATGAAATGCTTGCACCTGGGGCAGAAACACTTCAGCCTTTCAACAGTACAAGCTGAGGTACCGTATATTAATGCCTGAAGATGGTAAGCATGTGGTTAGAACTTCAAATCACAAGGTTTAAAACCTGAAAGGAAAATGCTGCATAAAACTGTCTTCCCTTTGAATTTAGCCATTAACTGCCAACGAAAGCTCATAAATTTAATGACAACGCATTTTAATCTCAAAAATGCTTCTTTTTTTTTTTATTCCTTTCGTTGTTATTAGCCTAATTACAACATGATTACATGGTTACAAACTGACTTTTTTTTTAGGTATTGATTGTGGTTTTGAAACACCATGTGGATGGGTTTCATCAACAAGTGAAGGAACAATAGGATGGAAGATAGGCTCAATAGAAATATTAAATGAAGGTATGTAATTGTATGCATCATTTTTACATTTGATATAGAATTTACTTAGTATCACCAATAGCAGATTCAAGGTGGGGGTGGGGACAGGCCGGAGCCTCCTAAATTTTTCAAAATAAAAAAAAAATCAAGAAAAAAAGAAAATTATATACAAATTTAAGTCTGGAGTTCCATTTCCGGTCATACTAGAAGTTCCATAATCATAAATAAGTTTTCTTACATTTCCTGGATTTGCCACTGATTTTAGATATGCATTTTTATTATATTGTAATCTAAGTCTGAATTCGCCACGTCAAGAATTAGTTTTTATAAATTTATGAAATAATGTAACTTTATTTGATATGTTTATATATTGTTTAAATGCTATTACATTTTGCCACATCTAGAAAGAACTAATAGCTTCACCTGTCTCTTTTGATTAAGTTCATGTGAGTTGAACTAATGTGATTTTGTATGGTACTTCAGTTGAACAATAAATGCAATTAGCGATTCCTTCGATAAGTTGTGAATGTCAGCCCTTGATTGCAAAATAATTGTTTTGAGTAAAATGTGGAGGCTTCACATTACAAGGTAGAATGTTGTGTACACTTTGGAGAGGTGCTCGTTGTTCTAAACATATATACCTGATCTATAAAAAAAGAACGGAATGAGAATAAGACGATAACATGATTCCTAAACATTGCAGTGATGTATCTAAGGCCCAATAAAAACAAATGTGGTATTAGTTTATCACCCTGTCTAAGCTGGAAAAGTGACGAGAAAGGGAGGCTTTTTATTTTTTATTTTGCTAATTCCAATATCACCATTGGGTTGTGTTTGCTTGTGCATTGATATTCAAGGTAAAATATATGATTGAGATGATAAACAATTAAAAATGTAAAAAAAAAAAAAAAAAAAAAATGTTTTCTTCAGTACCATAGAAGACATGCGGGCATGGGTGATAAACTATTTTGGGGGGGGGGTGCTTAAGTGGAATTAAGTAGCACTCCCCATTTAAAGTTTGCAGACCCCTTTACTTACTGTAGCAGGTACCTTCAACTGAAAGCCTATGTTCTCACTCCTGGTTGTATAAAGAATGTGATGTTGCAAAAAAAAAAAAAAATTGAGGGGGCCTGATATGCTTTATATTTATTTTAATTGTGAGAATTCAGAATTTTATTGGTAGGTTTCATGGTCACGGTGGCGACATAACAATAAAGAAAAATGTTATTAATTTTCCTGAAATTTTCATTTTATCATGGCAATGGGCATAAACAGCCCAAAGATAACATTTTATTTTTGTTATATCAATATCAGCAGATGTAGGGGAGCCGTATCATAAGTGTTTTGTCTAGGTTTGCGAGAACTTCATTGTCAATTCAATTCAGTTCAATATAACATATATTCATCAACACAAATACAATTCGAAATTATAACATTCATCATACAAAGAAGGTGTCAATGACATACTGTAACACGAAGCCAGCAGAGAGAAAACCAATTAAAATATACATTTGCATTTGTGGCAAAAACAGGCCAAACCAGTCACTCGTTGCAAAAATCGATTTTTGGATATTAATGTAGAGTTAAACCATAAAATGAGAGCAATAAAATGGTAAAAGAATCATTTAAATACCACATTTCATTATGAAGTTACAGGAGTTTAAACGTATAAAGCCAGCAACATATAAAGACAACATATACCAAGTGCTCCAGTCTTCAATTAATGAAGTTTGTACTTTAACGGAAGAAGAAGATATAGCTGTTTTAGGAACAATATTTTGAGAAATCCGCCGTCAAATTTTATTTCGGGCATTTTTCAGGCAGAACCATTACCAAATCGTAAAAAATTGTTGTTTTAACATTGAAATTCCAGCATGCTTTGGCCATCAATTATCTCGGAAATGGAATTTGCAATGAGTGACTGGTTTGTCTTGTCTTTGCCACATTTATGTCAGCACTTTTTGATAATGCAAACATACTGAATGTGTTGCAAAAACCCATCATTGATTTGTGATAAGGTCATTTTCATTTCCGTTTATACATAGCCACTATTTTATTTTCCAATCTGCCAAACATCCCAGTCAGGATTATATATGCAATTAAATTATGTCACGTCTACAATAAACTTTATTCCACCTGTGTCATTTGATTACATTGATGGTTAATATAATTTGATTTTTGAGGGTACTACAGCTGCAGTTAATTATCAGAAGTGTATGAAAATCTGAAATTAAGCCATAGATAAGTTTGAACATTAGCGTAATTATGATTGTAATAAATATTTTGAGCTAAACCCTTCACTGTTTTGAAATGCATTTTATTTACTTTTTTTATTTGATGTATATCTTTAGATTAAGTTTAGTTAAAGGGAAGGCTAATTCTTAGCCACTAGTCATGATGACTATGTGGCTATCTGGCCTCCCCACGTCGTGTACCAAATTTTTATAAATAAATTAAGATAAATATTATTGGGGGGTTTTTAAAAATTTTTATCATTTGTTTTATTATTATTGTTTTTTTGGAAAGGATGAGATTTCTTAGGTATGAATTATGTTTTTATTATTTTGATTATTATTATTAATTATTTATTATTGTACCCTTTAGAGATATAAGATTAAAATTATTTATTCATTATTATTCAATACGTACAAACTATTATTGCTTAAAGGTTTGCATGGCGAAGAAATAATATATATGTTGAAGCTGGCGGTACATTACGTAAGTAGTTACGTGGTGTATCGCAAGCTTCAACATATATACAAACTATTAGTTATCACAATTTGCAAATTTGCTTTTATTTTTTGCGTAGAATGTATACACCCACAGGGTTCTTGTTAACAAGATGAATTATACTTCAACCCATTTTCCAATTGAGTCCTAATGTTAATTTCTCTGCCAATACAGATTTTTACATGTACGTGAATGGATCACAAGAGCCCAGTGGGACGGTGTCTGACCTGTCACATGAATTCCGAGACAGCAATTACAGGTGCCAGTTGCACTTCAATTATTTTATGAGCGGCAGGGATGTTGATTCCTTAGGGGTTGATATCGCATATAATGGAGTTCAGTATACGGTTTGGACCAAGGCTGGTGGAGACTACAGAGACACGTAAGTCTGATGCACGACAAGATTCTAAAAGTAATAATGTGAAATCTAGGAAATCATCAAACATTTAATTAACACATTAATTCGCTTATTTAAAAGGATTAAATAAGTCAATCAACTGCAAATGACACACAGACTGAAGCAGTTTCACTCACAGACTTTCCACTTTGAAATCCATAATTATTAACAGCCAATTAAAGGTTAGAAAATATATGAGGAGTATTTTTTCATGAATGGTTTTTTGTCGAACAAAGTGATAAAAACCTACTCTTACCTGGATTTTGCGGTCGTGATCGGTGATCTATTTCATCTGACTGAAGGAGGAAACCTACAGATTGGCGGTTGTGACGTCACCAGTGCGACGACTTTAGCGCTTTAAATTGGTCCAACAAGAAAGAAACCTCTAATAGAGCATTTTGTTTGTTAGTGGGTTTTTAACATTTTTTTTTATAGCCCTCAACAATTCAAGTAGATTAGATTCTTGAATTTTGAATGTGTCTGTTATACGTCAATATACTGTAAAATACATTTTAATTCTTAAAGTTATTAGATTAAGAAAATGTCATCAATGATAGACATTTACCAAAATTGAAATTGCGTTAATGTTAAAAGCATTATGAAGAACATATTTAATTCTTAATAATAAACATATTTAATAACAATCAACATATTTTATAAATGTTCAATTTATATAAGAACCATTTCGTTGTAGTTCATTTTTATGACCCTTATATGTGGTCAAGTACTTACAGTACAGGCCCGTAGTGTGACTTAATTTGTGGGAGGTTTGTTTCAGTGGAGTGGACCCTTTGGCTTGTATGATCTCCGATACTCTGGAGAACATTGTAAATATATCTACGAATATAAATTTTTTGTTTTTAAACGCGGACCTTCTCCGGTTTTTGGGCGGTTCGTCGAAACCCCTTAACCCCCCCCCCTCCCATGCTACGGGTCTGCAGTAGTATACCCACAATCTGCTAGTTCATCGGGAATATCATTATTATTATTATTATTATTTTATACTTATATAGCGCATATCAAACTTCTCTATGCGCTGAAACATCAACTAAAAAATAAACCAAAAACCAAAGAGGGCATTAAAGAGAGAAAGCAGAAGAAAAGAGGTGTGTCTTCAAACGCGACTTGAAAAGTGTAACATTATCGGCCTCACGGACAAGCTGTGGAATCAATCAGTCTAATCAACAGCAAGATATAAATTGACAGTTATTTTAGACAGCGATTATATTGTCTATGATAGCATTGTGGCTACTATCAACTTCTTAATGAAAGAAAGTGATGATGAGCAATTATTATAAACACGAGTAATTACAAAATTTGATGGGCTTTATTCCGATGACTGTATGATTTGGGGTCGAAGAGGCTTACGAAGTCTACCGACCTAAAAATAGAAGCTTATTTACAGTAGTAGGATTAAAATCGATGTACTGAGAGTGAACAGTAAAATGACCATAATAAATTTTTATATAGGCCTAGATGTAGTATACAGGTAATTATACAGATAAATAAGAATCCAATGGGTATACCTCAGGTTCAGTATATGCTGTTACAAAATATTGCAACATTTAGTATTTCTATGCCATTTTGTATTTTCTGTTTTTTTTTTTTTTTTACCATATTTATAGAGGGTGACCCTTCCAGCGTATCCTACAGGGTAGGCTGATATTCAGGGGCCCTCTTTAAGTAAATGAAATAATGTGATACTTTATCAGTGAAGTCTCTTTATGAGGCATAGCGAGTGGAGTTGTTTTTGTCGTGAGAAAAAGTCCTTCCATCATAGGAATTGAACCCAGGACCTGGGGATCAGAAGGCAAGCATCTTAACCACAGAGCTATTCAACTCTACTGTTAAAAAAATAAAAGATGGCAGTGGCAAAACCCAGTGGCACATACCCCCACCCCCTTAAATCCACTACTGAAGAACTTGTGATTTGATCATATTTGGAAGTGATGTGATATCAACATACCCATATATAGAGAAAATCAAACAAATTTGTCACAAAGCTTGTAGTGTGATACTAGAGCTTAGATTAGATTTGCAATTGACCTAATTACATTCTGTTGGATTAGAATAAAATATATAAATATCATATGCCCTTGCTCTTATTTAGATAAGAATAAAATAAAAACCTTGTCTCGTTCTGGTCTTACTGCAACAATAATTATTTTCAAAAGAGTAATTGGGATGTATCTTTGGTAAAGTGTGATTCCATTTTGCTGCAGAACTAAATTGCATTTATGGTGAGTCGGTTAAATTCGTAAACGTGTGTAATGATCCTAGACGGGCAGTGAGTCGTGTAGTTGTGACAGATCTCTATTTTAAAAGATTCCCTTGATAATACAGCTGTAAGCCCACAGGATGTTAATGATTCAATTTTGTGGAGTTAAATTGAAAGTTTTTAAAAGGTATTTGTTGGTATTCTGTCTATAATTCTGAACTTTGTCCATGTGGATAGGATAATGACAGATGTCAATAGACAAAACCTAATTTTCTTTTAGTAATGATATTCAAATGCTCGAAGTAGGTAATTGCAGAGACCTATCTAGGCGTGCATTAATTAATCTAAGGACGATTGCATTAGAAGGATCGATGCAAACCAGAGGTAAAGTATATCACTGAGGTTGTATCTGTAGAAACCAAGTGGTCCAATGATTATATAGATAATATAAGATCATGCGGACTCCAAAAATACTAAGAGAAACCATGCTGTAGTGATTCAATATTCGTTCTTTATTTGAACATCATCGGGATTGAAGATAATTTTGTTCATAGGTTTGTGGTTATACAGTAGATCCCAGGACTCTGAGTTCAATTCATATTTTCATGACAACAGTCAACTGTACTAAATCAGGGTTTCATACTGTAAAAAATGGTAAATTGTAGTGCTACATCCAAACAAATAGATCCTAGATCACTTTTATTTCGATTTTTTTTTTTGTCATTTATGGGTCATGTCATTTTATAATTGTTTATCATTTTCTGCACAGTTAATATTGTCGTTTATAGTAATCCAGTTTTTTGAATTTTAATTCTAAGGCTTTAATCACAATTATGCTTAAGTAACAGTTAATTTTTTTACATGATCTACATTCTCAGTCAGATATATTTTGGAGTAAAAAGAGAATAAATAAGTAAGTAGCGTAATAATAATAAATGAATAAGTAAGTAATAAAAATAAATAAATAATAAAAATAAATAAATAATATAAATAATTAAATAATATAAATAATTAAATAATGAAAATAAATAAATAAATATTAAAAATAAGATAAATAAGTAATATAAATATAATAAATACATAAGATTCATAAATAAATAAGATTAATAAATAAATAAGATTAATAAATGATGTTGGTAGGGTGAAAGTAGTGAGGAGAAGTGTCTAAATCTCAAATATATTTTGCAGTAAAAACAGAATAAATAAGTAATAAAAATAAATAAGTAAGTAATAAAAATAAGTAATAAAATAAATAAATAAGAAAATATATGAATAGATTATAAAATAAGTAAATAAATAGGATAAATAAATAATATAAATAAGATAGATAAATAAATAGATGATAATAATTTAAAATAAATAGGATAAATAAATAATATGAATAAGATAAATAAATAAGATTAATAAAGTAAATAATGAATAAGATTAAAAAATGATGAGTGAAAGTAGTGTAATACTGTTTTTCAAAATGTGAGTCTAATTAAAATTAATTTGTCTGTTACCTGAAAACAATTGCCCTAATTAGTGTTTATGGTTTGCATTTGGCATTACTCAAGTGTGATTTATTGCAATAATATAGCCCTCTGGTGATGTGACTTAAGTGAAAATACCATGATTGAAAGTGGGTTTCAATAAATGCCCTGAACTTTAATGCAAGACTATACCTTGCATGCTACCTTTCATTTCTTGTCCATCATTGTCTGTTAACTAGGTTTTTAGGTTAAGTTTGCTCCAGGTGTATATACTGTATTAAATAATAATATAACATAATATGATTTTAGATATTAAAAATAAATGTATCTGCGATAGTAAAGGAAATTATTCCAACCAAGATTTAAACTCGTTGTAGTGGTGCCAAACTGGGACACATAGTTATTTTGAATCAAACAGAGGCAAATATTTCTTGCTTTATATACAGGAACTGCACTAGTTCTTAACACATTCATAAATAAATAAATTCTTGTTTACACAACATAACTAATCGAATGTGACATCAATGTGATTTTTACTTATTTTAGTACCATAAGTTAGGATAAATCTAGGCTCACAAAAATGTTGTCACAAATTTTCGGAATAGCGCATTCAGAGTTCTAAAAATGTTCACGCCTCAAAATTTTGTTATAAACTGGTTTAACCTTGATTGCTTTTAATAGAAACAAAATATTTAAAAATTTAGTCTTAATCAAAATCGATTTAGTTTCCTATCACGTCATGGGAGATCTTAAAAATCTATTAAGAAAATTAAATGGACATAGATAACTATAATTGAAAGCAAGCATGATTATTGCATCTACTGTCTCGCTTCTAAACCGCAATTAAGGTGCGTCTTAAATGGCTTTTTTGTCGGAATAACACATTACCATAGAATCCTTAATGTACAAACACTGCTAAAGACATGTCGTTAAACCCACGAAGTCGAAATTCAATTCCATCGAAGTTGATAACTTGTGTACTTCAGTGTGTTGGTAATTTCATCTGCTTTCAAATTTCCAAATTTATTAACTATTTTCATAATTAATTATATATACTCACTGTAGGGGAGTTGTTGATAAGAAGGCTCATGCCCGTTGGCAATCCTAGCTTGGTTTATTAATGTTAGGCTTGATTAAATATTCAATGTTGCAAGAGTGAAATATTATTAATTTGTTATGACTTGTTTGACACTTTTTTCAAGCTACAGTTTTTGCTTCCTCAAAGAACATGTACCATATGCCTAGAGGCATGCGTTGTAGATTGACTTGGTTAGTTGAGCTGCATAAATCGGCGATTAATAGATGGTATACATACAACCCTGACTATGGGAACATAATATATTACATAAAAAAATAGAGGTAACTCTATCATGACACATTAAGTGTGTACCACCAGCTCTTTAAACCAGCAAAAAAGACACATCTTCACGTCATCTACTACACATACTATTAAGTAGGTCACTCCAGGTACCATTGTTCAGTACTTAGTTCTTTGAACTGTTCTGGTGCTCCCTCCCCTACCATCAAATCTTTATCAACTGTATTCATCAGTATTTCCCATACTTACTTTAGGTTCAAAAGACCTGGAAGGTGGCAGTCCGCCAGGATTCGCGTAGCGGGCATCTAATTTTTCCGTGGTCCGACAGGGATTGTGAAAATTTCTGGTAAAGTCTCTGGGAGAAGCCTTTGTGGAGTCTTAGAGGTACTATTCCCAAAAAGTGCTACAATTTCAGGCATTTTTAAGGTATTCTAAAATTTAGCTTGACAAATTATGCTTATCCTTTCCCTCTCATTTTTGATCCAAAGAATATGTATATACTGTACCATTTAAAATAAAATAACGAATCTTATTTTGTTATTCCAGTTGGCAAGGTGATGTGTTGAACATAGGCAAACTAGAGGGCGCTTTTGAGGTAATCTTTCGAGCAGGGACAGGAGGGACCAAAACTGATATAATTGCAATTGATAATATCAGTTTAAAAGATTGTGGTCCAGGTGAGTGAACTGTTTGGATTTACCAAAGAATTTTATTACTTTTTTCTAGATAAATTCAGTATAGAATTTATAAAAGTATAGATTCATTTTTTTTTCATATAATTCTTGTCTTCCTCTCTTTTGCTTGCTGATGAAAATTTAAACTAAAATCTCCATTGTTGTAATTGATTGTGTTTAAGGGCAACTCGGACAGCGTTGTACAACACAGCTCGACGCAATTTATCATTGGGGACAGTCGTTAGGTCATTGTGAGAATATTAAACATGTTTAGTAGTCTACGATAACTCATGCAGGCCCGACGCAACAAGAAATTGCATCAAGCTGTGTTGTCCAACTCTGTCTGATTTGGCCTTATTTGCATGTAGCCTAATTAGGTGATTACTAAAATGTAGTCCATGTCTGAATTTTTATGCCTCCTTTCAGTTTTAATTATCAACCTTGGATAAGTGCTTAAAAGTTTAAAAGACAATGATTAGGTAAAAGTGTTTGAAATTTCATTTATCTGCAACAGCCTTTGGCCGACAACCCAGACAAACATCCTGGTGATTTTCCGCACTTTCTGAGACATTAAAAAACAGAGAATTGATACTCAATAACGGTCATTAACTGGTAAACAAACGTGAAGTAAAATTTCTAATTGACACTTAAAATGCACTCTTTTTACTACAGCAAATTTTAGCAGATATAAAATTAAATTTTACAATTAATCCTTGTGTTGCACCGCTTTCTAATTTATTTGACAACACAATTTCGTGTTGAGACCCATAGTTTGAGAACTGTTGGCATACAATAAACAACAATATGTAGGATTTAATTTGTTTCCGCACTAATGAGTAAGCTTTGTAAAAAGTATAAATGCTTTATAAATACATTAATCTATAAGAATGGTTGTAGTGGCGCGTGCAGTCACATAGTAATACGAGTATGCTCGTAGTAATACTCAGCACGTTAATAAATCGTAAGAGAATTATGCAAGCCTTAAATTACAGTATAAACACAAACCGCAATAGGAATAATACAGTTTTTGCTATTGCAATTTCCCTGATGACTGGATATTGAGCACATCAGTGTAAAAGAGTACATTAGATGAACACGAGCTTGTAAGCAATACATGCATCTGTCCTTGTTAAGTGTAACATCAATACATTTACGTTTTTATGTCTCTGTCGAGATCTTTAAAATATAGACAGTCTGAAATTCATCTGTATACCATTCTGATAATAACGATTGAAATGTCACAGGTCGCTAAACTTCAGGAAAATGTTTTATACATTTGATTATGTGGTTGTCTGCAATACTCTTAGCTAATTGCGAGCATTATTGTAAAGCCACTGTACTTATAATGTGATGGTTCATGTCTAGTGCTGTCAACCTACATTTGTAGAAATCTAGAACATCTTTAAAGGGCATCCATCCTGTTTTTTCAGGGGGTGTAGGCTGGCATCCTGTTTTTTCAGGGGGTGTAAGCTGGCTTTTTCCTTGAGGGTGGGGGTTGCAAAAAAGCCTGGGGGTGGGGGTAGGTGCAAAAATTGAGAATGTTGAATTAAATCCCTATGAAAACTTAATGGTCATTTTTGGGTCTGCATGGATCCAAGAACCTCACTGCTGTTGTTGTTTTTTAAGTTTGACCCCAGGATGCGCCCTCCCTTCCCCATACCTACAACACAAAAAAGGGGCTTCAGCAAGGACTGTACATTACTGCCATTACCACTAATAGGACATTTCGCACGGATGGCGCGGTCAGTTAGAGATGTGTTCTAAGGGAATAAGGAAACCAAAGGTCGTGAGTTCGAATCACATCTTGGTATTTAATTTTTAATTTTTTTTTTTTTCAATTTTAAGACATTTTATTTATTTTTTAAAATTTATTTTTCTTTTTGTACACCATTGTGTACTGTATTTAAGCATGGAGGAAATTTTTTAGCCTTGTCTTAAACGCTAAATAGAGGTGACCTCAGTTTAACGCGCGGACTGGTGATTTGCCACCATGGGGGTTGGGTGGGGACATGGGTGTGTCCGCCTCAGCCTACGCCCATGTTTTAGTACCTCACTGTGTGTCAGCAAGTTATAGTTTAACCAGAAATTGTACCAAACAGTTTTTCTTCTTTCCAAATATTTTCACTGGTATAATACAGATAAAGGCAAAAAAAGCATTTAAACTGATAGAGACAGGAGTAGTCATCTCTCCCTTTCTTTAGTATTTGGGCCAAACTACGCAGTGCTGTAAGTGGATCTCGTCTGTTTTCCTTCCCAGCATATTGGCACCTATATTCACGGGTTTAGAGGGACAAAATGTAGATAAACTGTCTTGCCCAAGGACCCAAGCGAGTCACAGAGCGAGGACTCAAACCCCGACCACGAGAATCCATATTTATAATGATAGTTATATGACTGATGATTCAGAATTTATTATTCAATTATACAAATTGCATATACTGAAATGTGATGATATTGCTATTTGCTTGAGCTCCAGGTAAAAAAATGTATAGATAGTACTGCATTATATAGTTTATTCCAGAGTTACAGAATGATATTTAAATATTTTTTTCTCAGATTCATTTTTCCCGGAACACACAAAATGAGAAAGATTGAAGCCTCTTGGTAAACACCAAGAGGCTTTACAATCTTCAAAACAAAGAAAAAAAAATGTGTCAGTAATGGAAAAGAAGTAGGCCACCAATTTCACTGAAATCCTACTTCTGAAAAAAATCAAGTATAATATAGGAAATCGACGCCAATGTGAATGTTAAATCCAACCAGGCAGCGATTATCATGAAATGAGGCATAATGGCTGCGATTTGAATTTTAATAAACATTCAAAATTAAATCACTCCATTGGGGACAATATTATGAGCCCGTCGGTGATAGACTAATTGAAGTCTTCATTTTATAAATGTTTAATGTTTGAAGTCTTACGATTATAGTATGGTAGTCTTATGTATAATGCTTCATTCCGAAAAAGCTTCTAAGTGCATCATTACCCAGTTATAGGAACAGACACATTAATGAAACACATACTCAGCTCCCTTGGGAGAATTCCATAATGTTCTATCTAGTATCAGCGCATTTTCGTTTGAACATTCAGGTACCCACTTGTACACTTGGATGGTGAGAGTTAATGAGATATAAACCGCAAACCGCGGTTCAAAAGTACCTCCACATGGTTGGATCATGTCAAATGGTATTTAGGGAAGACATTTGAAAAATCTACATACTGTTCCATATTCTATTGCATTAGGCCTATGGTAGCATATAAAATTTAAAAGTTGGGGAAATTCCCATAACCTCATATATATTACTCTACTTTTCCAATTTGTAGAATAAAAAATGTTACATTATTTTTATTGCTGCATCAATGCATATAGTATACTATTTTTCAAATTATAAGATATCCTATTGTTTTTGTGTTGTTTGTTATTCTCTCTGTGTTCTTAGATCCTGAAAATATAACACAAAACTGTGGCACGTCACAGCTGACTTGTGGTAACCACCAATGCGTAAGCCCGAGCAAAGTTTGCGACTTCCAAAAGGACTGTCTTTTTGGAGAAGATGAAGACTCCAGTACTTGTGGTAAGTTCTGCATTTTTTATGCCATCTCTTATATGGGTATAGTCTAAGGGGTTATTTCCACTAAGTGGAATGACCATTAATTTAGTTCGGCCTTCTGGGATTTACAGTTCCACATTCTCATTTCCTGCAAAAATCCCCCCCCCCCACTTTCAGGCCAAAACCAGCTTACGCCCCCGGCATTCCACATTGGGGGTGGGGGCACAGTCGCCAAAAATTTAATCTATGCATACCTGTTTCATTTAAAAATTTTTTTTGGAATCTGAACTTTTAAAGCGCCTTTTACTATCCTAAAATACACAAGGCACTGGCATCATATTTTCCTGGTCACTGTACACTAAGTTGGCAAATGGAACATTTTTTGTGCAACTTTTTCTGCTTCCTGGGGAATATCCCTAGTCATGCTGCTTCCTGGGGAATATCCCTAGTCATGCTGCTTTACACGCACAACCAATATGTTCAATGCCATACCATTCTAGTACCCATTTATACTCTGGGTGGAGAGAGGCAAACGTATTAAGTAAAGTACCTTGCCCACAAGGAATCAAACAACATGACTAGCGTTAAACTCAATTTCCCAATTTCTCTATCAGAAATCCATGCTGCACACGCTCTGTGTTACACAAACATGTAGAATTCGGTTTAAAGTGAAGTTTTAGTCTCTTTAATTAACATTTATTTGAGTATATAATTCAGAATTTGAAAATTAAAAAAGAATAAATAGTTTAATTTTGACAATCCTACCAAATTTAAGTTTAATAAGTTCAATTATGCTGAATATGTTCCCCAGAACTTCGGAAAGTTGGTAGATATTTCACTGTATTGTACTGTATTTCTGTTACCACCAAAAACTGATTAACGTTAGGCCGGAATTTTTATACCTTGTTTTGAAAATCTGCCACCCACCAATATTGATTATTTTGAATACAAATAAAATTATGTATTTGGCCAATTAGCACACCCACCGCCACAAAAAATTGAAATTTCAGTAAAAAAAAAATTTTTTTCTTTATTCTTATGACGCACAGCTGCTTTAAAATCCTAAAAAATAATATATGTATATTTCTTCCTCATTATATAAACTTTAAATATTTTACCATCACATTACTACACTGTTTACACACAACAGTACAATTTTATTTTTATTTTCTCTTGCATCTAAAAATTTTTGGCAAAACCAGTTGCTAAATAAGAAGACTAAATTTTATTTCTAATTTTCTTTCGCCCTCTGACAATCTGTAATATAAGTTCCTGAAACAAGTTATAAAAAAAATGTCTCGCCTTTGGGTGGCTTGCTGCTGCAGTATTTAAGTTTTGAATAAAGTGTACGAAGATAGAAGAATGTTCATAAACCGTGTTGTATGTTACTATTAATGTGGGACACTGTCTGTGGTGAAATACAGAAAATCTTGAATATTTCAATTCAAAATTGTATTCTAGTGATAAGTTTAATGCATATATTCCATGATAGCAAATGTTCTGTGTTGATTTACATACGTTAAGTATTTTGAGGCACATTGTATACAGGTGTTTTTCAGAATTGATAGTAAAAACTTCAAGAAATATATCGGTGGTTTTTGAAGAACATTTTGTAAAGAAATTTATTAATAGATTGCCACTAAAGCATATTTTCAGAAATCTGAATTTCAAAATCTTTAGTTGTACACTACATAGGAGCTTAATTCAAAAATTAAAATATAACTTGAATTTTTCATGTTTAATGTTACCAAAATTAAGGCTTATTTTGTGAGGACGCCTTTCAAATTATAAGCAGAATAGTTTTCATGACACTAAATTATTAAAGTACAGACAGAAAATTACAGAAATTGAATTGAAAATTGAATTGAATCAAATTGTTGAATAAATTGAATTGAATTGAATTATTTAATCGATTGTTATTACCATTATCAGTATTGTTTTCCATGACACTAAATTATTAAAGTACAAGACATTTATAAAAGCTGACAACATTTTTAATATAACATTTTTTATAGTTTTTGTTACTTTTTATATTTAATCGATTGTTATTACCATTATCATTAGATTAGAAACCTTTCTTTTTACTGGATACCCAATCAATGTGGAGACATTGTTCTTCCTTGGGGTCCAGATAACAAAAACTTAAATTTCATACAAAACAAAAATAAATTCCAACATCAATGACCAAAATAAGAAGATTAACTTTTTCATATATTCATGTTCTCCATTTGTAAAATCATAGGTCATTTAATGGAATCAACTTACGATTGCCACAGTTATGAGTAAAAGCATTACAGCTTCTCTGCACTAATGTATACAATCCTGCCACATTCTTATGCTAATTACTCTTATATTATATTAATTTTTATGGTGTTATATATTAACACCATAAAATATGTTTAATTTTTTTGCTTGTAATTTTGTTTATTTTACTATCATGCATTGTTTTAGGAATAATGCCAGAAGGATCACGCTGTAATTTTGAAGACGGGTTGTGTGGCTGGTGGGATATAGTTGGTGAGGACAATTTTAACTGGACACGTCACCATGGGTCAACAAAATCTTCAGGTACAGGACCAAGTGCTGATCACACTCTGGGAACACAATCAGGTAATATCATGTTATGACAATGGTAATTGTGGTTGAGGTGTTCACCTATTAAATCTCAGATTCTAGGGTTAATCTAAAGCTTCGTTTCCATACAATTACTACACTGCTGCTACAGGTTTTTTACTGCAATCGTTGCAGTGCTTAGCTGTCCATGATGCAATCGGGAATGTTTCCTGCTTCAACTGACCAATCAGCATCCCCAAAGGAGTTGGCAATAGCGTGTAGCAATTTTATGGAAACCAGGCCTACGCCCCACCCCTTGGATATTGTTGCTAGGTTCCACAAAATGGGACAACACATGTGTTTGTTAGACTGTGTTGTGATTGGTTAGTTGTTTTAGTTTGATTGACACCCCAAAAAAATGCATTTTCAGTGCATCATTGTAAAATGTTTCTGGATAAGTAAAAACAAAAAAGCAAATATCATTGGTTCTGCCAATGAGATTATAATTCCTATCCTGCCCATCCCCCAAATTCATCCCATTGAGAGTTATTTACCAGTGGCAGCGCCAGATGAGGATCAAAGGTTATGTCAACAGGGAACCAGACCTCAGACCCACCATAGTTGGTGAGAAAAAATTAGTACCACTTGATGGCCGGAAATGGCCGATAGGCATTATTCTTACTGGTTTTACTCAAGAACAGAGTGAACATGTTATACAGTGAGAAAGAATTATTTGACAATACTACTGTATAACCAGGAATTTGTAGTAGAGCGGGCATGGCACAGGGAGGGATTTTTACAGATAGAGGATCCAATGACTCACCAACTCTAGTGGGGTTAGGGCAAGAAATTTTATTCCAGTGCTTAATGTTTGTTTAAATGTTAAACTGATCAAAACTTATTTTTAATAACAGTATTCATTCAAATTGCACACAGCCAAACATGTAAATTGTATAACTCCACATAAGTATTGATACAGCTTTCTTAATATTCTGTTTGTGTTCACAGGGTTTTACATATATACAGAAGCATCGAATCAGGATCCTCGGGCTAAAGCATACATACGCAGTCCCTGGTTTCCACCTCCCCCTCCTGAAGTTGGAGACCAGTATTCAGAATACTACCAGATGTGTCAGGTGAGAATAAATTGCGTTCATTCTTGAAATTCTACTGAGAATATAAACATACTGATGTTTCATATCTGTTATTAGCCGTTATGCATCATGATCTTTCTAATGCATTGATAAGATAGCAGATGGGAATTGTATTTTTGTAGTACATATCATATAATAGCTTACTACTGTTATAATAGAAGGTGCAGTGGAAATGGTTTGGTTTCCCCATATATATATATTTTAACACTTTCGAACTAAAACTGTATATATATGATATAAGTATATATAATATAATAGTATATATTATACAAAAGCATAAAGTTATTTTTTTGTATTTATAAATGGTATAAAGATATTTATATTTTTAAAAAATGAATGGACTCCGAATTGAAAGTAATAATAATAATAATGACAACAATAATCAGAAAAGAATTAGAAATTGTCTGAATTTAGCCATAAAAACTAATACACCGTAATCTAAGCATAGTTGGCTGTTCTGTCAGATGATATTCTTATAATCATTGAGAAGAAATATAGAATTATTGCTGGCTTAATAGTCTGTGTGCTTGTTAATTGTTGTCAAATATCATAGTTACCCCTGTTTGTTTGTACTAATTTCACATAAAATATATGGATGACACACTTAATTTTGAACCACACAGCACATACAGTGTGAATCCTATTCTAAACTTGTTAATGGACTGTATTATAACAACCATTGCGACAAATTTGATAGTATCCTGTGAAAGGAGATGGTTTATAGTGTCTTAAAATAGCTAAACTTAATTGCAAAATGAAACACAGGCTTGAATATAACCAGGGATTTTCAACATCCCTTCTTACTAAGTGGTACCAATGTCACTGGGGGAGGCAGAAATATAAAGGTAAAGTAATCAACATAATATTATTTATAGAGGGAGAGCAGCTTAGCTCAGTTGGCTAAACTGGCGGTAGCCACTCTTTGTTCGTTGAACCGTAGAAATCCTTTGGTACCTGGTTCAATACCATCTGATCCTCTCCTTGTGTTTCTAGCAGGCTGAAATGCAGGTATAAAAAAGCGCACCATTTTTCATATGAGACGTTTTAAGCTGTGTGCAATATGGCAATTTTAGTTACCTGAATAAATAATTTTCCTTCCGAAAAGGGTCCATAACGCAGTTCATTACCAATACTACAAGATAGCCAAGTCTACCATTGGTACAGTAGATGAAAGAGGGAGATGGAAGAGGGGGAGATAAAAGATTAGAAATAAGATAATATCACTTACCGGTAATAGAAACTCAAAAATTTCCATTGATTAAGTGGTACCTCTATTAGGTTGGAGGAAGTTGAATAAAATAAAGAAGGACACTCGTCATACGGTGAATCTAACTCCGCTGCCATTGATTGCTAGACGACGCAACGCCGTCTGCTGATTTTCGGTGATGGTCTGAATGGATCATAATTAAAAATGTGTTGTGGCGTTTCTCCATAGAATTGCATCGGCCGATGACCACGAGGTTTAGCGAGCACCCGCTTTAAGTACATGCACGAATTAGCAACAAAAACAACTATTAAAATTTGAAATTGCTGCCCATACTCAAATCCACTGACAGGGCTTTGGACTCACACTACACCTATTTTAGGCATATTTTCATTTTGTCTAATTCACCTGTGAATGAATATGCTACATAAGAGAGAAAATATTCTAATTTAAAAAGTATGAGGATGAAGAATTCAAAGTGAAGGAAGTTAGATAACTAATTGAAAGTGAATATTTTTATGCAAAGGAAACTGACAACTTTGTTGAACCGTGCTGGGTCATTTCTTTGACCGTGTGCATGATTGACATACTTAAAGTTGGTATGATGTGACATCACAACACAGACTTTTTATGTTAATGCACAAATTTGTTTGATTTTATTATTATTTGTATTGTTTTTTTATATGTTATTGTCACTGTTGCAGTTATTAATCTAATATAATTAATAGTAATATTATATTATTTTTTAAATTATTTATCTGGTATTACTTTTAATATTTGTATTATTAATGTTATTTTCTTTTCATTTTTCATTATTATGTGTGTTATTACTGTTATGTATCAATTTTTATTATTATTACTCTTATTTTGATAATTTAATATTATTATTATTATTATTATTATTATCAAATAACTTCATTTAGCTTATTTATTTTACCTTATTTTCTAGGCTTAACATGAATGAAATTTGATGTTATATTAGTATTTTTATTATTATATTATTATTATTATTATTATTATTATTATTGTTATTATTATTATTATTATTATTATTATTATTTCAAATGTATACATGTCGTTTTTTAATTTTTATTGTTAATGATATTTGTATTATTTACTTTTACTTTTTCAGATTCGTTTTTACCATCACATGTTCGGTGAACACAATGCGGAGTTGAAACTGTTTGTTTACCACAATTATACGAGAGAGACAGTAAACCAACTGTTTTCTGAAATAACCTCAAATACTGAAGTTCCTTGGACTTTGTTTAAAACACCTCTTCAGTACACCACTGTGAGGTGAGGATAATTTATTTATTACCTCCACCAAGGGGGATATGTATTTGTTGTTGTTTGTTGTTGAGTGGAAAGGTCAAAGGTCAAGATCACAGAAATTTGGAAAATTTTCTGAAACTTAACCTTGAGCATAGAAGAAAATAATGGATTATCTCATAAATGCCATTCAGACCAGGGTGGAGATATGCACTTCCTGGAGTGATTCTTCTCAACAATGTTTTGCCAGTGATGAAATCAAACCTTATTTAATTTGTAGATTAATTATAAAACACTGTTTTTTGTGAAATGATTATAGGTCTTTATTTTACTCTGTCATTCTAGCTATTATTTGCAATTTGAGGTTACCAGGGGATTTCGCTATCGTGGAGATATAGCATTAGACGATATTTCTTTAAGCAGAGAATGCTTCACCCTAGATCATCTGCAACAGAAGACGACAGAGGTCCCTACAAGCATTGTCACTGTAACTGACGCAGTTGATAGAGGGACTACTAGTTTACACAGTACTGAAGGTACGTGTCTTATAAATGGTGGTGCGGCAGAAAAGATAATCATCCAGAGAACATGGCTCCCATGACAGGAATGCTGTGAATATTTACATAACAGCAGAAAAGCAGATGCAATTAGTGGTGGTGGGTTCGTGGTTAGCTTGTTGGCCGTCAGCCGATTGAGATTAGCAGGATGGCATTATCATTGCAGGTTTTCTTGAAACTAAGATGAGAATGTGCTGAATGTGAAAATAGTCGGAAAAAAAGAAAAAGAGGAGTAGGACTAGGCCTAGACAAATATATAAGAAGAAAGTTGGAAATATGCTGTCTGTCTGGGGATCGGAGCTCTCATCTGTCAAAGAGAAATTTCTTCATTTTGATATTGACTTAAGAAGAATGTGATTCCACTCTGCAACACAAATCATGCCAATAATCAAAGTCCCAGGATTGATTGGATTATTTCTTGCTAAAAAGTAAATTTTATATTATTGAGGGGGGGGGGTGCTTATTCAAACAGGGCACTTAAGAAAATGTTCACGTTTGGAGGGCTGCTTTTTCAAAAGGGGCGTTTATTCGCACGAGTATAGGCACTGTTGTAGTTGTTCAGACTGGTGAACCAGTACCAGTTGCACACCTGAGGGTAGAAGCCATTATTGCTAGTCACCCATTCGCCTCTCCACATGCACACTAATATGTGTTGGTGGTTTCCAATTGTCATTGACTGGGGTATAGTCATATTTCAGAATCACCAACTACATGACCCCAATTGATTAATAATTACCAGTATCACCTTCTCGTGACTATAGTTTCCATCCAGTCCAGAGCAGGCTCTAAAGTTGTTTTGGGGATTATATTGTGTGAAAATAACAATGATTTTGGTAGCAATATCTTGAAAAGTCCTTCTAACTTGTATATATGTTCTTATTGTGTGAATCGGTTATTACTTGAAATAGGAGCAGAAGTATTCATAAGCCCTGCCCAGACTATCAAATCATGACCATATATAGGCACATCATGACCATATATATGCACATCATGACCATATATAGCCACATCATGACCATATATAGGCACATCATGACCATATATAGGCACATCATGACCATATATAGGCACATCATGACTATATATAGGCACATCATGACTATATATAGGCACATCATGACCATATATAGGCACATCATGAACATATATAGGCACATCATGACCATATATAGGCACATCATGACCATATATAGGCACATCATGAACATATATAGGCACATCATGACTATAATATATGGACAGTTTTTTTTGTCAAAGAAAATTTAATAGTATTTAGACAGAGCTTTATGTTAACATTAATACTGGTTCCATGGGTTCAATTTTTGTCCTAATATATTCTATTTTTCCACCATTTACTAACTGTTTTTTTACAAGTCAATAAATTTTAAGGTGATTTTTTTTCCCTATCGTGATACAGCTTTACATCAGGATGAACTCACTGATCTGGAACAGGTCGCTACTTCCTTGAGCCTGCAACTCAGTAATTCCTCCAAACGTAAATAAATTTGTCCCTCCTTGGCTTGCCTCCTTTATCTTGTTGTTGGCTTCTGTATTGGTTTCTGTTCGATCTGCGTGCTCCATCTTCATGTATATCTCATACTCAAATTCTGCTAATGGTTTCAATTTGATTGTACGATTATTTGATTAATACAAATAGTTCATTCTAAATGCTTGCGGTACCCCACTTAGATATTTATATTTTAAATGCTTGCGTTACACCACGTAGATAGTTCTGAAAAGAACTGCTGTATTGTTGAGAATGGCTTAACATTTTAATTGAGTTTGCTTCATTCATCATCAGGAGAATAATATCTAAATAATAGTACAGATATTATTCTGTTGATGACGATTGAAGCAACTTAATCGAAACGTTGAGACATTCTCAACAAAACAAAAGTTTTTTTCAGAACTATCTGCGTGGTGTACCACAAACATTTAATATATTATTACTTTGCTATGCAAGCCTTCAAACAATATTTTATTTTATTTTTTGTAATTTAGTTGATATGTTTTTTATGGATTTTGTTTTTTTATTAGTCCTAATGTTTAGTTTTTGTGGTTAAAATTATTTTGCTTTATGTCTTGTGATTTGCATTTCTTCGTATCCTTGGTGAAATTTGCTTTTCATAAAATCTACAGTTTATATTATAATTATGCTTGTCTATTCTATTTTTTATGTATTTTTTAATATGCTTAACGCTTAATTTGCATTGATAACTATTGGCCGATCCAGGAATTTGAAATTAAAGGGGCCCATAAGGTGATTATAGCACCTTCAGATTGCCAGAAATGGCACTCCTAGATTTCCTTTTTCTACATTTTTTTTAAATAAAAAAAAAACTTAGTGGGGCCTGGGCCGGCTAGATGCCCCCCGAATCCGCCACTGGTAACCACAATTAAATGGCTGCGGTTTAATTGTGGTAACCACAATTATACCGCAGCCCTTTTTGTACTATGGAAAGGGTAGGAAAGGGTATGATAGGTAAATTGACTTCTTATTGGGAGAGTGTATCTCGCACCAGACAAGAATTCTCATTTAGGAGAACCGTTCAATCTTCTCATCATAAAGGGTCCCACGTTGGAAGAAGTCACTTACGAGAGATCCGATTAAATGAGCTTTCATAACACATCCAACTTTATTGTGCTGCGTATGGCTATACTCATCCGCACTGTTTTCCATGCAACACTAATAAAGTGGTACAAACATGCATATGTTATGAATTTGTTGAAAATGAGTTGTTTTACATGAGATCTTGCTTGCTTGCGGGAGTGCTTAAGGGCGTTCCGATTTCCGGGAGACCCCCGAAACATGCAGGGAGACTTGGGACCCCTGCATCATCTTTATTGTTATTATTATTATTCTCTAATGACTTATTGAAAACAAAAACAGTCAAGATACATAACAGATTTCCAAAAGCAAAATGCTATTATTACTACCTTGTTTAGCCATCCAAGTACCTGATCCATGCAGTCAAGTTAATTTTTATGTGAATTTTACATTTGTAAAATTTTTCAGCTCCAACAAGGATCCCAATTGGCCAAACAGTGCAGGCAACAAACAGCACCCAGTTTAAGTTCAGCACATGTGGAGCGGTAGGTCGTTTTGGACCAACACAAAATGACTGCGACAAGGCTTACCAGTGAGTTTAAATTTGCTTAAGAATTAGAGTTGCGATGATTTGAATTGAGAATCTTGAATTAATAAGCAAGGCACCTATTCATACCTTCCTAATTTAAAAAAAAAATAATAATTGCATATGTCAGTTGTAGTGCAAGAACTTGTTCACACATATTACATTGGTCATTTGAACAATGTCTTGGAATGCAATCTCATAGGCTTAAACCAACCAGTCATGTATAGCATTCCTTAGTGAAAAGAAGCAATATTAAGCCAGGAAATCACTGCATTGTACAATGGTCGTACAACCAGCGGCCAACGATTCAAACTTAGCACCTTGTGAGCACTAGATACTGTCTGCTGATTGTAGTTAGCAGTCAATGTATCGTCATTGAAAATGAACCTTAGCGCACACGTCGTGGTGTTACGTTCTCAATAGAATCGCATCGTCCGACAACCATCGTGTGCAGCGAGTGGCAAGCTTTAAGGGCAAAGCATCAAGCCTAAAGCTGTGTCCACCCTTATCAAATTTTAAGTGACAAATAAATGTAATATGATTTTATTTATTTTATTTTATTAATTGGTGTAGGCTGAAGGATCCAAGGATATACCAAGCAGCGAACTTAATCACAATTAAAAGTGGCATAACCCCTCACAATACAAACACACACAAGATGCTCTACATAAGGCCAGGCCTTTGTTGAGAGAACCCGCTGACTGCAAATATTGATGATTTCAAATGAAAATAAAATTTTATTTTGGCCAATTAGCGCACCCACCGCCACAAAAAATGGAAATTTCAGAAAAAAATATAAGTTTTCTTTTTATTTTCATTACACCCTCCGCTGCCTTGAAATCTCCAAAGAATAGATATGTACAGTAGATTTCTTCCTAATTATATAAATTTAAAGCATTTAACCATCCCATCAATAAAATTTTATTTTCATTTTCTCCTCTGTCTGGATGTTATTGGCAAAAATATTTGCTAAATAAGAAAACAAAGTTTTCTTTTTATTTTTATTCTGCAATCCTCCGATTATCTTTAAAAAGCTGAGTGCGCTAAACAAGGAATAAAAAAAGTCTCGCCTAAACCAAGTCTATTTTTAGGCTTAGGGAGTGGAGTTGTTTTGACATGAGAAAGAAATCCTGTTACCATGACAGGAATTGGGGTCAAGAAAGGAGCATTCATGTCTCCGCCCTGCTCCTATCAATCCTTTCTCCATTATACATGAGAATCTTCATGTCATGTCAAGTTTTTAGACCTAAATCGACAAGGCTCTACAGAGCATGAACTCGTGAATAGACACGATAAGAAGGCAGGAATTTAATCCAGAACCCTGGGATCGGTAGGCAAGCATCTTAACCACCAAGCTATTCAGCTCCACTTCAAACCACATTCTGCAATCACCCAAATGTGAGCACATCACACAAATTTATCACAGTTAATTTGATAGGTGGACATAGCTTATGGGATGGACATACAAGGTTTGCTCCTGTTGTCTACCCTCCAATACACCTACACAAATAAAACAAATTAGAGCTTAAAATTCTATGAATGACGGAAGCTGCCAATGCAAAAAAAAAAATGTGATTATGTATATGTTCACCCACTCAGTGAACGAACTAAAAATAATCACATTAATAAATCATTCTTTAATTACCAATTTGTTCATTTTGAATTAATTACATTAAAGTTCCATTGATAATAGTTTTAAAATTCGATTGTTAAATGTTAAAGCATTCACCAACATAATTTGAATTATGTTCATGTTTATTAATTAAACATCAGGGGTATATGCACAAAGTTAAAATACCATCCTGATAAATGTTTTACCAGAAAGCTATTTTGCGTCATTCGACTACTACTGAAGGTTTATACAGTAATGTCAATATTTCATATCAACTATTTAATTTTTGCACTAATCTTAAATGCTTTTAGTAATCACCATAATAATCTATTCTGTGTAGTTTTTGATTCCTCATTATTATTTCTGCTTAATAACCCTGTTTCCGTGTGTACATGGGTTGACAGAATTTCTGCGGATGTCGTCTGTCCATATGTTTTTGTCAAGTGCCTCCTCCTCTTACTGTAATTCCATAAATTTCAGGTCTCCCTATATAAATTTATTCTATGTTTTCCTTTGTTGGTTTTCCATTGATTCACAATTTATTTGCTTGCCCTCAGTTGGCTGGACAATTATGAGGAGTCCATCTATAATTTGCTGGCCATCTATCTGTATATTGGCTGGCTCTCAATCAGTCAATCAATCAATCAATCAATCAATCAGAATAGTAAACATGTATTTCTGTTCGTTCTCCTATAGTGCAATATGACAATAATATGTAATATTTATAATTTTATATTTAGTAGTAATGACATGGCAGAATTTTTGAAACGATTGGAAAGTGACATAGTTACCAACCATCTCGCATCATGCTGGACAGTCCTAAGTTTCAAAGTGATTTTGGATGAAACATGCATTTTACAAAAACACATCCATGATAATAAATTTCTCATGCATTTAGCACAAGTCTATGCGTGAATATAAAATATAACGATTTATTACAAATTAAGGGGAAAATTTATTTAAAATTAGAAGAAATTGGTTTTATTCAAAATATAAAAATGGCCATGAAATTAAACATACATTGAAATTCAAATTGTATAATTATATTATAATATATTTATGTTTATCATGTACCCAGTATTGTCAACAAACACTTCCTGAAATCGTACCGGGACCCTGGCCCCAGCCAACTGTTGTAGTCACTCGCACATTTAAAATCTTTCAGGTCGGTAACTATGAAGTGAGGAGGTACTTGCTAGGAGAATGGGATGATTTGTAACTAATTTAGTATTGTGGGTATGCAGCCTCCCCCATCTATACCACAACAATAGCTGAAGGTCTATAAACTCTAATTTACTCTAATTCTGTAAATCCTTTAAGGTGCCTGAAGTGATTTTGGATGAAACATGCATTTTGCAAAAACACATCCATGATCATAAATTTCTCATGCATTTAGCACAAGTCTATGCGTGAATATAAAATATAACGATTTATTACAAATTAAGGGGAAAATGTATTTAAAATTAGAAGAAATTGGTTTTATTCAAAATATAAAAACGACCATGAAAAATTAAACATACATTGAAATCCAAATTGTATATATATTATAATATATTTATGTTTATCATGTACCCAGTATTGTCAACAAACACTTCCTGAAATTGTACCTGGACCCTGGCCCCAGCCAGCTGTTGTAGTCACTCGCACATTTAAAATCTTTCAGGTCGGTAACTATGAAGTGAGGAGGTACCAGCTAGGAGAATGGGATGATTTGTAACTAATTTAGTATTGTGGGAGTGCAGCCTCCCCCATCTATACCACAACAATAGCTGAAGGTCTATAAACTCTAATTTACTCTAATTCTGTAAATCCTTTAAGGTGCCTCAATTTTTGGTGACATTTCTTCTGTTAGTGATGTCCCCACCTATATTTGGTTAGTTCCCAGCCTAGCAAAATGCGAGTGTCCTGCATGTAGAAAAAGAGTGGGTGGGAATTGAGTATAAGTTGAATTAGGGTAAAGCTTTGTTTCACAAATATGTAGTATATCGCTGTGTGATTAATGTCAAGGTCCCAGGCATTAATGTTGGAATCTGCTTTAATGAGAAGTTGTTCATTAACAAATTTTTTACCTTTTTGTTCTGTTTTTGTAATTATTGTCCTTCCTCTCCATAGAAATATAATGTAAATTAGAGATAATAGGGGATTAAGGGAAATTATCTTATTCCCTTATGGGTTCAACTGTCATTAACATTATAAGTAATCTAAAATAAACAATAATGACAATTTAATGACATAATTTGGTTAATTATAAACTTTCTGGGGTCAACCTAGGAAACCAAGAATGAATTAATTAAAACAATTTCTGATCTGATTACTGTACAGCCTTTCAACAGTCTAAACCTCATGTGCAAGGAAACTGATCTGATGATTAAATTTGGTGATTTAAAATGATCAAATTATTTATCAAATTCCAATGAAACAATTCAGTCGAACATCCTAAAAAGAAATGTAGATTTAAGCGTCTTTGCAAAGAATATAGCAGGGGTATTATTAATAGGCTTTTTAATTGGTGAGAAAAATATATTCTTGTTTCAATTTAAAATTTTTAAATATACAAATTAAAGCAGTTTAATTATTGAATCATTTTTTATTTACCGTAGTTTAAAACAGAGAGAATGATATGATTTTAATATTTTATTGTTAAATAGACATTCAGATGTTTTTGTCCAACTGGAGGATTCAGGGGATGAGTTTATTGCCGGCGTACAAATGTGGATTGTTCCCGTCAGTAGACTATACAGGTATACACATGAATATTCATTATTTAATTATCCCCCTTAAAGTAATGAAATGATAATAAAAATGATAATTTTATTATCATAAATTTTATATATTTTTTTTCTTTCATTTTTAAGAATTACTGCTAAAGGAGCCAGTGGAGGGCGTGGCATTGAAAGTACCCACACATCT